CCCCCCCCCCCCCCCCATCTTGCCCCTTACGCGCGCTCACTACAACTACCACACGAGAAACCCGTGCAATGGCTCGGAGTGTGGTGGTCCTCTTATATAGTGGAAAGTGTTATTATGACCAAAACAACTTTTCAATGCGTAACGGTAACATGGATTAGCCTGCGTTTCTTATCGGTTGTTCCCTCCTCCTTGTGGGCTGGGGCACGCTTTCTACTCAAGGCACTCCCCTGCAACCCCCGTTCGGGGCACCCCTCGGGCCCCTCCCCTCTGCCCTCCTCCCATACACGTGCTCAGCTCCGACTGAGCACGTGGAGAAGGAGGCAGGGCGACCCGGTACTCCCACCCTGCCCCCGCACGAGCACACGTCCAGCTGCCACGGCGGCGGCTCGTGCAATGGCTCGGAGTGTACCGAATGGTTGTCTTATATAGCGGAGGTTGTTATCACATTCGAATTGGATTGCTACATCCTCCTAATCGGTTGCCGGTTTGCCTAGCGGTTTTCGCCTCCAGCGAACTCGAACCCGTGAAGTATTTTGCGGACGGACAGACAAACATACATACATACCTACAAACCTACATACATACAAACATACAAACCGACACACAGCGGGCGTTACTGGTTATAGATGAAAAGGATATATTATTATTATTTATAGGACTGGTACATGGTACATGGGAGTGGTACTGGATTGGGGGTAAAAGGTACGGAAGTGCATGGACGTGGGTTGACGGCACTGAATGGGGGTATACATACTGGTCCTCTGATGAACCAAACAATGATGGTGGAATGGAGTTCTGCCTGGAGGTAATTTTAGACTGTTGTTTTATTTTTATCCAGAGAATGTTTTTAACTCCTTACCAAATATGCGAAAATGTCGAATCATTTCCAAAAAAGTTATCAGAGTCTTTTGGTGTCCAAGCGGCATCCCACGACAGCGGATAGATTTGTCTACGGTTATTGGCCCACCAGTTTGAATTTGCAAACTTTTCTGACGTTCATATCCTTACCCTGACCAGGGAAGTCCGCCAACTTACCATGGAACTTTGAATGGAGTCCTGGGTAGATAGACAGATTTTGCGGGGTCATTTAAAATATAGTGAGCAAAACTGCAACCTGCATTTTACAAGCAACTTATGAGCAGTAAGTGTAATGGTGGCAGGAGGTGGAGGTTTGGTGGTGAGCTGGGGGTCGGGGGCGTAACATTATGGAAGCGAGGAATCGCATACGTCAAATCGAGTTATGGTAGCTCTGTGGTAAGGTTCCCGCCTTCTCAGGACGTATGCGATTCCTCGCTCATGCTTCACAGCTCACCACCCCAAGCTCCACCTTCTGCTGCCAGCAAACTAAACTTTTACCTTGGCTGCATAATTGCTTGTGAGTGAGGGCTGCAGTTTTGCTATCTATATTTGTGAAAATAACCTTGTAAACTCTATCGATCTACCCAGGTCACCGTTCAAAGTTCCATGGTAAGTTGGCGGACTTCCCTGGTGAGCGCTGTGAAAACAGTGTTCACTGAGGATATTGAGGTGTGAGTGAAAAAGAAATCGAAGCTGCTGATTTGTTGTGGTTAATATGCTAACACTATTCAAATGAATCGGACCCTTGAACGAACCGGTTCAGCGACAAAATTATTAGGCCGCAGACTGGATCTTCTACGCACAAAGCAGAGCTCGCGAGAGGCTATTCCAAAGTCACCGGCGGTCTTTATGACGTTGTTTATGGTTCCTCTACCCGTTCGATCACGCCAACCAGTCCGTGACCGTACTATGAATTTCACTCGAGTATCCCCCAACAGTTGACAGCCCTTACTCAATATAATGCAAAAAAGCTTGTCTACTTGCGTCTACTCTGATGAAAACGCTTGTGAGGCGCACCATAAAGTGCTTCAACAGGGAGATCGATTACGACAGGCCGGCCAGGGCATCAGCAACGTTGTGCGAGATAGATGGGGGGAGGGGAGGTCGTACTTGCCGCTGGTGAAGGGTCATACTTTCCCACTAGGGAGTCAGGGTCGTATTTGGTCGTTTTTGGGAGAGGGGAGGTCTCATGTGCTCTTGAGAGAAATTCGCCGCGTTGGGAAAAAATATTTTCCCGGTTGTTGACTTTTCGCTGTTTTCCCCGTTTTACATTTGCTGTACCCCTCCTCTCCAACCCCCTAGCTGATGGCCAAGTTCTATTAGGTTGTTCGAAAGTCCTGCGACACTTTGACCAAATTTTTCGAACTAAATTTCTGGTCAGTAAAGGACATCTCCAATCTACAAGGTAACCGCAGTTGATGACTAGGACTAGTGCCTTTCTTTTGCACAGCTTCTCATTTCCATTCTCATAGAACTACGGCAACTGTGGTAAAAAGAAGAGGTGGACCTCATTCTCGAGTTGAGGTTGATTTTCGGAACTTTTGCTTTTTGAAAGGATATGCGATAGTGACCATACGGGGTGGTGTAATCAAGGTCTGCTAACTGTTGTTAAATAAGCTGAGGCACGGTGCGCATTCTCGATCGAAATGCATGATCTTTTGGCGTAGCCTGATCCCCACAGCGGTCCTCGCATTACCGAGTAGTAGAGAAAAATTGAGTATTTCTGAATGAATTCAAGCGTGACGTCATCCATATTTTGAAGTCGATTAAGGTGGACTGTGGTCCTTACAACGCGGTGCTGGTATGCAGTGAATTTCCGGCTTTGGAGTCCCACCAATGAGCACACTGAAGTTCTTATTCCAGCACATCTGTTTCTAATAAGCAATCTAAATTTCTGTTTGAGAGATCCTGCAAAGGGTCATTTGCATGATGTACGCAAGGACTCCACCACTTGCTACCAACCACAAGATTTTACAAAAGTTCCTACGCTGTATACAAGGAAAAGAAAACTCAGTCCAGCGTCCATTCGTATCGACTTGGCAGACGGGTCGCAAACTAATGAGGCATCCCTCACAAAATTGTCGCTGAATAAACCGGGGAGAATGCGGAGAAGCATGGCAGTTACCAGTCAGGTGGAGCCTAGAGAGGTCGCCAACTTACCGGTGGTTACGTTCGGCTGCGCTTCAAGAAGCTTGAGTAAAGGGCCGTCATTCTGTGCTGATGGGCGACCTATACATTGCCCAACTACGAGTTAAATAAGTCCAGCCTAGAAGCGCTGATGCAAAAGCTACCCTCTGCCATGGCAAGCGATATCCTTCCTCAAGACAACGTAGGTGTCAGCTTCCTTGACTACGGCGAAGTGGCCCTACAGGAACTCATAATATGGGACAGGTCGAAAAGTACCTCGATCTCTGGGGGACTTTTAAGCTTTGAAAACTTCCTCAAAGTCATGATATACCCATGTGCAGAAACCCCAGAGGACAGTCTCCACTAATCAGGGATAAAAACATCCAAAATGATTTTTGGTCTTTTTCTAGAACAATTCAATCAAAGTGTCGCAGGACTTTTCGAACAACCTAATAGATAACTACCAATCCCGATTGTTGAAATTAGTAGTTGGAGCTGCCGACGACCTCCGCCTTGCTTGGTGGAAAATCCGTGGGGGAAAAGTGGCGAATTTTCAGGAAATTCCGGAGAGAACTGGCATATTAAACCTGGAGGGGTGGGGGAGGGGGCTGGGACGCCATTCACACATCACGACGGTGTACCCTGTGTCAGGCTTCACTGGACTGTATTGAGAACGTGGAGTAGCTTGACTATGCAGAACTGTGCGCAATGGACTTCGCACTGGAATCGTAGAATTAAAAAAGTCTTTTACAACGTTTCATTACCATCACAGAATCCTATAGTATTTCTAAATAACGAAGAAGTTCCAGATGGGCATCGCAGGCAGGTGGAACGATCGTTATTGTTACCGCAATAATTACTTCATCTGTGAAAGATAGTTTTATAGAAACTACATTGTTTTCCGATAAAGTTTTTTGTTTTGTTGTCTGTCGATACCAATGTCTAGTGAGCAATGAATTCGGGATGGCAGAGTTTAGAAACTAGTCAGAAAGGGAACCATGCTTTAGAATTGAGTCAGTCATGGCTGTCAAGGCTACATTTTGTAACAATTGCTCATAGAAGATGAATTGGTTAATTAAAGGCAGTCCTCGCGCTCAATAAGTTCGTACGCATCCCTCCTTAGTTACGTAACCTGCTCTTCTTACTCTGATTGTAAGGTTACCTCGCCTCCGCTGCTTCACTGTAAATGAGGCGCTTCGGCCTTCATATGTGGTAAAGCTGACGCCTCTTCAGTTGCACCGCCCGCCGATACCCAGTCTGCTTTCTCTCACGAGCTCACAACCCATTTTTCGTTTTTCTTCTTCACTGCTAGCCTGGTATTAGCATCGGATGGCACGGAGAAACGACTGGTTCCTCGGAATTTGCGGTTCACCCTCTCGGTACCGAAGTGAAATGCTTCGCGAAAATGACCTTGGCTGATTTGGGGCGAATCGCCACAAGTCCTGTTTGCAACCTTAACCTGATAGGGAGTTAAAACAGCGTTAACCGGTCAATGACGACACGTGGTCAATCCATACGCCGAAAACAGTGATCGATGTAAGCTTCGTATCCCTATACCTTGAGTAATACCGGCGAAGCAGGGTCGGAGCAGGCCCCGGAAGCTTGGCGACCCTATCCCGATGTTTGCGATTGAGGAGACGTGGCTCAACCCCGGGTTCGGGGTTCCTGGCTACTTACTTAAGAGCATCGAGCTTCAACCATGATGTGTTTCGAATATTTTATATGAAACTGGTGTTCCTCAAAAGTGGAAATACCGCCTTCAGGATCATAGCCGGCTGCTTGTTCGTTGAGGTCGGCTCTGAAAGAATGACTGAAGAACTCCACATCGGAACTCACGGACTGGAATGAAGTGAGCAGGATGGGTTTACGTGCCGCTATAGAGCATACAATTGCAACTTGTGCACCCACACGGCAATTGGCCGCAGTGCTGCTGTCATACTTTACCGCCACAAGGGCCGCCAAAAGAGAATAATATGTGCAAACGCAAAGATTGTGGTCATTTCGATTGAGCACATATTACCTGGATAAATAAGGGCTTCTACCTTCGGTTGAGTGCTGTGTCTGTCTGTGAGAAGGGAGGCAGAGAACCGCAAGGTAGCGTCTGATCATACGCTACGGTCACCTGAACTCGAGGTGTGGAATCAAGATGTTCTCCCTTCCACATCTATTAGGTTGTCCGGAAAGTTCTCAGCGTTTTGGGTGTTTCACTTTAAACGATCGTAACTTTTTAATACTCATCGGATTTAATCGAAATAGGCACCATTCGAATCAGCACACTTTTGCCAATGTGACAGCAGTCGAGAAATCCCATCAAAGTAAAAAACTGGGTGGTCGAAAATTCACGAAATCCACTAAGGCTTTTTTGCCTGGTCCTGATTGATGAAGTATTTTCCAGCAAGGGAGTTCTGAAAATGTTAGAAAAGGTGATAGTCGGTTGGCGAAAGGTCTGAAGAATATGGCGGTTGAGGTAGAACTTCAACCCCCAATTCGTTCAATTTATGGATAGTGATTTGTGAAACGTGTGGGCGGGCGTTGTCATGCAAAGGAATCGGACCCTTTCTTTTGATAAGTGTTGGCTGCATCTGACAAAATTTTCGGTACAATTCGTCGATTTCTTCACAGTAGGGTTCTGCTGTGATGGTTTGGCCTGGTGATAAAAAGTTATAGTGGATCACACCAGCCGATGACCACCAAGCCGTGACCAGAATCTTTTTTTCGTGAGGGTTCGGCTTTGAAAATTACCTCGGTGGTTCGTCGAAATCCAACCACTGTCCGGAACGTCTCCTGTTATCATACATGACCCATTTTTCATCACAGGTGACAATTCGGCCCAAAAACAGGTCGTTTCTGCTGCGCAAAAGCAATGCAGAAGGAACTCGAGACGTGCCGATTCCTGCCGGTCACTCCGATTGTGGGGCACCCAATTGTCGAGTTTTTTCACCTTCCCAATGCGTTCCA